CCCAGTTTGAGCATGAAGACTTTCCCCGTCAAAAAACAGGGTGCGAGCGTCGAGGGGCACACTTTGATTGAGAAAGAACAGTATGCACCGGTGGGGGGGGGATCAACAATAATTATTCTTCAGAACTGAGAATTCTTCAACAACAACAACAACAACAACAACAACAACAACACCACCAACAGCAAAAACAACAATAGCAACAATCGCCATTTGAAGACTGCTCGCTCCTATCTGCTCACGTGCCAATCAATACGTATGTCCCAAACTCTCGGTACCCGCCCTCGTCGACTTACGTCGGACCCCCTTGGGGGTGCATCTTTCTTACCTGCCACGTGCATTTACCGCAGTCCCTAACACAAGCGAAGAGAGGACGGGTGGAAGGGGGAGGAGAAGAATGAAGCACGAGAGAAACTAGTAGGAGGGGAACAAGGAGCAGAAAACAAGTGGTAGAACCAAACAGGCAGATCGGGTGGGCAGACCCATAGCGGGCGGGTCGGGAAGGCGGGCCCAAGCGACCAGGTCGAGCATGCGGGTGGGTCCTGCAGAATCGCGAGCGAGTCTCGAGCGATAGCGCGATTCCCAAATAAATCTTGCTAAAAATCAAAGCGAGAGCGTGATTCCTGAGCGCCGAGGGCGCATCGTCTGAACAAATTGCGAGAAGTCCCACGCGAGAGCGCGGTGCGCACATGAACTGTGAGGGAGTCCCGCGAGAGAGCGCGATTTGGTAATAAATTGTAGGGAAATATCCAGCGGGAGCCGCTGCTGTTGTAAAACAGGGGCCAGGGGCCCGATTTGAGCCCCGTGATTTCCCCTTAGTAACAAGTACGAGTTCAAAACTACCAAAAAAAAAAAAAAGAACACACACAAACACAACAACAACAACAACAACAACAACCACAACAACAACAACAACAACAACAACAACAACAACCACAACAACAACAACAACAACAACAACAACCGCAGCAACAACAACAACAACAACAATTGCAACCACAATCACAACCACAACCACAACACAACATCAATAACAACAACAACAACAACAACAACAACAACAACAACAACAACCACAACCACAACCACAACAACAACAACAAACAAACATTTTGATACTGTTCGCCCTTATATGCTCGAGTGTCCAATAACGCGTATTTCCCAATCCCTCGATACCCGCCCTCTCTGTCTTCGATCGAACCCCTTTGGGGGGTATACCTTTCTTCCCTGCAGGCCGGGCCCCGGCAAGCGGCGGGGCGGCCGCGGACCGTCGGCCTAGCCAGCGGCAGCGCTGATCGGCGGGGCGGCTGCGGACCGTCGACCCGACCCCAAGAGGGACGGACAGGGGACCGACCACGTCGACGACGACGACGACGACGACGACGACGACGACGACGACGTCGAAGACGACGGCGACGACGACGACGACGACGGCGACGACGAGCGAAAACGAGAGCGAGAGAGAACGACAGCAGGGCCACGAAGGGCACGAAGTAGGCCACGAAGGGCGACAGCGGGGACACGAAGGGAATGCGTATGGGGCCACGAAGAGCGCGAACGAGCGGGAGCCACGAAGTGCAGATCATGCGGGGCCACAGAAGGCATCTATGGGGCCACTGAGGGTAGCAACCAGGTAGGACAATGAGGGGGCCTCAAACGGCGACAGCGGGGCCACGAAGGGCATGCACATGAGGGCACAACAGGCGCGACTCCTGGGTGCCTGGGTGCCGGGAACGCGGCGCTTGGACAAATTGCAGGAAATTCCAAGGCAAGGCCATTCTTCAGTAAGTTGCAAGGAAATCTCCAGCGAGAGCGCGACTCCAGATCGCCGGGAGAGCGATTCCTGAATAAATTAAATGGAACTCCCAAGCGAGAGCGCGATTCCTGAATAAAATGCGAGGAAGTCTCAGGCGGGAGCGGGGGTCCTGGCTAAATTGTTAGGAAGTCTCAGGCGGGAGCCGTTGTTGTTGTAACCCAGGGGCCAGGGGCCCAGTTTGAGCAGGAAGACTTCCCCTGTCAAAAAACAGGGTGCGAGCGTCGAGGGGCACACTTTGATTGAGAGAAAACAGTATGCACCGGTGGGGGGGGATCAACAATAATTATTCTTCAGAAATGGGAATTCAACAACGACGACAACGACAACGACGACGACGACAACGACAACGACAACGACAACACAACACAGCAAAAAATCAACAGCAAGAGCAACAGAAACAACAACAACAACAACAACAACAACAACAACCACAACAACAACAACCACAACAACAACAAGCAACAACAACAACAACAACAGCAGCAGCAGCAGCAACAACAACAACAACAACAACAACAACAACAACAACAACAACAACAACCACAACCACAACCACAACAACAACAACAGCAGCAGCAGCAACAACAACAACAACAACAACAACAACAATCACTTTACCCGAACGCTCAGTGTTCTCACCAGTGCCAGGGTTTTCATGCGACGCCGGCCAATACCCCCACTTTGTGGGGGGGCAGTGCAAGCTCTACCAAATATCCACACGACTCTTCGCCACCACCCACACCCAGCTTCCCGCCCTATGACGTTCGGACACTTCACTTCGTGGCCTGCGGACGACCGTGGCTACTACACTGGCGTGGAGTACACACCCACAGAAGTTGTTAAGCCTACGTTCGTACACCCACAGAAGTTGTTATGGAAGCATATTGGGGCCCTTGTTAACCCACAGAAGTTGTTAAGCCTTCCACAGAACATCTGTTGCATATGATGCATATGGTACATGATACACATGATACACACGATACGTACTCACAAGATAGTTGATCACATCTTTAGGGCAAATTCCAAGGGCGCAACCTATGGCGCAACCTATGGCGCAACCGCAAGGGATTGTGGCCCCTGGCAGGCGCGCGAACCCCGTTGCAAGAGCGTGCGAAAGTAGCTCGCGCGAGCTCATGTAACATAAATGTTGGAAAACCATTGGTTTTTTTAGGATTCGGACAGCGCGCGCGGGTAGAAATTTTGAAAAGTCGTGCAGGTGTTTTTCGAGGACCTACGGTGCGATTCGTGTGATTTTATGATGCGCGGTGCTAAAATTCTTAAGAAGCCCAATGGTTTTTGGAGATTTCGGCGTGCGCGCGCGAAGAAAAAACGAATGTGTCCCGCATGGTATTATTTGACAGGGATGATGGCCCTGGCAGGTGCGCAACCGTTGTCGCAGAAGTTCGAAAAAGTTGCTCGCAAAAGCCAGTTTGACAGAAATGTTTAAAAAGTGTTGGTTTTCCTACGAATCCGCAAGAGCGCGCGGGATGAGATTTTGACATTTTTTTGTTGAAAAACCATTGGTTTTTTGATGTTTTTATGTTACAATCGTTCCGAACACTAAGCTTTTGGAAGGATTTCGTCTTGCGCGCGCGAATGTCCACTTTACCTTATTTTTTGCAAGGGATTCTTGAAATTTGATTATATTAGAACAAGAAATGTCATTTTCTATTGTTTTTTGCAAGGGAAAGCGGATACAACAAAACAACCGGATCCTGTACACACCCTCTTTTCTGAGGCTTCCCCACGAAAATGATGAAAATGTAGCTGCGGCCTAGGCGGCGCAGGGGGGGCGCGCACCAGGGGGCCCAACAATAATTATTCTTTAGAATAAATAATGTTCAACAACAACCACAACAACAACAACAACAGCAAAAATAACAGCAACAACAACAAGAGCCATTTTAAGACTGCTCGCTCTTACCTGTCTGCATGCCGTTCAACACGGATATACCAAACCCTCGATGTGCACCCGTTTCGTCTTCGATCATACCCCTATACGGTATATCTTCATTACCTGCCACGTGTATTCGGCGCAGTCCCAGAAGCAGAAGAGAGGACGCACGAAAGGGGGAGAGATTAACAGGAGGAAGGCTAGCAGCAGAAAACACGTAGCAGAACCAGACGGGCTGATCTGACGGGTAGAGCCTAGCGGACGGGTCGGGAAGGCGGGCCCAAGCGGCCAGGTCGAGAAGGCGGGTGGCTGAAGCGTGAGTCCTGCATGATTCGCGAGGAAGATCGAGCGATAGCGTGATTTCCAAGTAAATCTTGGGAAAAGTCAAAGCGAGAGCGCGACTCCTGAGCGTCGAGGGCACGGCTTTTGGATAGATCGCGAAGGAATACCAAGCGAGAGCGCAATTTCTGCATATTTTCTGAGGGCGTCCCGCGCGAGAGCGCGGTTTTGAAATAACGTGTGAGGAATGATCAGGCGGCAGCCGCTTTTGTTGTTGTAAAAACTTCTACAATGAAAAAGCCCTTATGCTATTCGATTTATATATGTACATATATATAATAAATATAGATTGAAATATATGAAAATGCGAGCCCAGGGAGGAACATTTAAAACGCTGTGGACCCCCAAGGGGGGATCAACAATAATTAGTCACTTGGCATGAGAAGTAATAATTCTCAGACAGTACGTTATGATCTGCTCGCGTGTCAAACAACGTGTATATCCAAAACTCTCGCCCTCTTCGTCTTCGATCGTACCCCCTTGAGGGGATATTTGCACTACCTGCCACGTGTAGTTGGCGCAGCCGCTATAACAGGGGAAAGGAGGAGGGAAGCCACAAGGGGGAGAGAGAAGGATAGAGCACGACAGAGATTAGCAGGAGGAGGATTACCTAGGCCCAGAAAATCAAGCGGTAGAACCAGGCTAGCGGGTCGGGCCAGCGGACCCTTCCGGGCGAATTGGGCGGGTGGGCCCTAGGGACAGGGGCACAATTTGAGTCCCACGACTTCCCTACCAAAAAAAAAACGTGGTGCGGGCCCCAGAGGAGGCCCTTCAATTGAAAAACACAGTGGGCACCAGGGAGGGGGGATCAACAACAATCTGTCTTCAGAAATGAAAATCCAAAGATAATGACATGGAAAAATGCTCTCAGCTCGACGGCAAACAAGCAGACGCATGGATGACAGCAGCGGAGGCCGGCAACCCGAGGGGGCAGGGGCGCGGCGCGAGCCCTTC